AAAAAAAAAGTGTACAAATGTAAAAATAAACTGTTAGTAAACTAAAAAGAAAAAATATTCAACAGTTCTATTTTTTAAATATTTGGTTTGAACTCTGGCATGAACTAGGGTACATGCCAGAGATGCAGAGGGTGAGAGGATTCACCAGGGACAGAGTGGGGAGCAGAACAGGCAGATCGACAAAGTACACTGCTGAGGGGAGGGGGGGGCAGGGCGATGAGGAGAGGTCTGCCACACCATGTGAATCTCCTCCAGGGCAGGCGGGGATCTAACTCATGTGGAATTGGCTTAAGCTTCTTAGTGCAGTGCTTTAACCCGCTGTGCCACCAGGGAGGGCCTAATTTTTTTTTTTTTTAAAGAAAGATTTATGCATACAAGAACTGGAATATAGGCCTGAGGTGGGGTGAAGGAGGGTGAGAGGATTCACCAGGGGAACAGAACAGGTGGACTGACTGAAATACACTGCTGAGGGGAGCCGCAGCCTGGACAGGAGAGGCCTGCTGTACCATGTGGGTCACCTACCTGGCTAGGGCATCTAACTCCTGCTACAGGGGCCACTGAGAGCCTCAGTGCTGAGCTTTAATCCGCTGTGACAATAGGGAGGGCCTAAACCATTTTTTAAATTAAAAACATTTTTCAGAGCCGTCCCTGGTGGCGCAACAGTTAAGCACAGCACTGTGAGGCTATCCACTGCCACTGCAGCACCAGTTCCATTCCCTGCCACGGAGATGACCCATATGGCCCATCAGACCTCTGTTTCGCCCACTGTTCCCCTCAGCTCAGTACATCTGCCCTTCGGCTGCCCACTCTCACCTCCTCCCACCCACCTCTGGCCTGTACTCCAGTTCCTGTATGTATAAATAAATCTTAATTTTTTTTTTCAATATAAGATAAAACTAAAAATCACTAGGATGAAGTTACTGGAACTTTTCATTCATACAACAATTTGCCATTTTAAAAAAGAAAAATAACTTTCTTATCCGTTAATAAGCTAGTTCAGTTCTCATACCATTATTTGATTCTTAAATCATTTAATTCTCACAAAACGCCAGACTGGGAAAACCACTCAGCTTAGTTCAAGCTGCAAAACGCATTTACTAGTTTCATAATGATCTCCAAACTAATATTCTGTGGAATGCACACCTTAAAATGCGCTTCACCTTTGCCACCAGGTTATATCTACTTGAGCACTGAGTTCCACTTCTATTCTGACTGTTGCAAGTAAGTCACATTTTATGAAACTAGTTACTTTCACAGCAATAACTCTCGTTACAAACACTGGCGGTTTTGCTAAGCTTTATTGTGAATGTCAAATACAAAAGCAATGTAACAACAGGCACACTGAATGACACATGTACATATGTTATGGCCCTAATTTAAAAACCCACTGAAAAGGAAAACAGTAGTAGTCACCACCGAAACCCATTCTCTTACAGGGAGGGGAGGCAGAAGGTGAGGGTTAATACACACCACGGGAGGGGTGTGGGGGGGGGACTGATGCCGAAGGGACTAAATGAAATGCAGCTGGGCCAGTTGAGGAAGCAAGACTGGCAGGGTCTGATTAGGAATACGGAATTGCTGTGTTGCTAAAGTGGGGGAAATCAACTACCTCAACTTATTGAAGATAAAACGGTAGAAAGAGTCGGCCTCAAGGCTGCAGAATTAACACCAGTTCATGTTTACGTTGATGACACTGTACTACACCAAGACATTAAATGAAACCGCAACGAATCTCTGCTCACCCCTACGAAGTCTCACTTTTCTTATTTTTTTAATCTCTAACCTCTAGAGCTAAACGATGTGGAATAGCCTGCGTTCGGTGACTTTTCATCTTAAAATACTAAACTTCCCAGGGATGAACATGCAACAGGCCTTCTCACTCAGCCGCTGTTTACCGAGGGCCAATTAAGCGCTGGCCTCCTTGGGAAGCCAGGGTTCCTCGCCTCCGGCAAAGAAGCCAAAGGCGGGGTTGCAAAGAACCGGTCCGAGCCAGGATTTCTCCCCGGGAAGGCTCTAAGCTTTCTCCCTCCATCCGCCCTCAGAGTTTATCGCCGCTCCTTCCTTCCCACACGGAGGTAAATGAGGAGGCAAAAAGGACTACACCGACAGCTGTAATGCGAGATACTGAGTGAAAAAGCGAGGACTGAGGGGCAGCAAAGGCCAACCCAGCCCCGTGCCCTTCACCTCAGGGAGTCAACACTGCCGCTCCGGGCGGGGAAGGCATGGAAAGTTCTCCACCAAGAGCTAACTCAGTCGCTCCCTCGCTACTGACGCCCACCTTTCTCGCCCCAACTCACCCCAAGTTCATGGCCTGACCTCGCGCGCTCTGCTCTGTCGCCTCAAGCCCCTCAAGCCACTTGTGTACGTCGGTTGCCTGCGCCGCTCAAGAAGCGCTACGCTGAGTGGATACAGTGGTCCGGGCGATCTGGAAGGGTGGACCAATCCCGGCTGTGCGTGGTAGCGAGTGCGCTCCAAGGGGGCGGGGCTGCAGCCGCGGTAAGCTCTGGGTTTAATCTCTGGGTTTAATCTCACCTGTGGGTGATAGGGACCTTAAATCTAGAATGGTTTTCTCCCCATTTATTAGAGAGCCCTCAGAGCAATGCCTCATTTCAGTAAGGGGCAATAGTAAGGGAAAAAAAGCATAAACGTCCTAGAAAATTAACATTTTGTCTATTTTTCATTTGAAACGGAACTTTCAGTACTAAAGAATTTGAGGTGGGACAGTTACTGTGGAAAGATTCTTTGCTGTTTTGCTTTGAAGTTTGGTGCTTTATTAATTATATTTTGATTTTAAAGAGATTAATGGCTTAGAGAGGCTCCAGGCTGAGTAGAGCCCAGAGGCATGTCTGAGTTTTGTTTTTCTTACATCATAATACTTGATTTCCCCCCTCAGAGGTAGCCCCCATAAATCTCCCACCACCACCGCAACCATGAATCATCACTTTAGTCCCTATGATTTTTCCTCCCCTGTTTTCACCGTCCCCTTCCACTGCCATATGCTGTAGATGCATGGTTTGCCTTCAAGTTTCGTCTTTTCTTGACCCTTTGTTTGATTTCCTTATATTCTACCTTCAAATGAAACCATCTGGTATTTTTTCTTTTTGCTTCTGACATATTTTACTAAGCAAACTATGTCACTTCCAGTTCCATCCTTGTTACTGCAAATGGCATGAGTTTATCTGTTTTTACTGCATTGTGTATATACACTACATTTTGCTCTATTCATCTGTTTTGGAGCATTTAGGATAGATGGGGCAGTGCACTATTTAGGATGAAATTTAGACATAATGTATATATATATATATATATATATGTATTTTTTTAAGATTTTTATTTATTATGGGTACAAGAACTGGGGTATAAACCGGGTGTGTGTGTGTGTGTGTGTGTGTGTGTGTATTCACCAGAAAGTGGTGAGCAGAACAGCAAATCTACTGAAATAATCTGCTGAGGGGTGCAGCATGTGAGACAGGAAAGGTCTGCTGTGCCATGTGGGTCAGCTCTCTGGCCTAGGATCAAACTCATGCTGCAGTGGCTGGCAAGAGTTGACAGTACTGAGGCTTTAACCTCTGTGTCCTGGGGAGGACCAAGACTGAATTTATATTAAATATTATTATGTTATGGATCTAAAGCATCTGCACCTGGCCCAGGGCAACTGGTTAACAGTGCAAACCAGTGGCTTCAGATCTGTGAAACTGTGATGTCTGCTATCAGAACTATCTAGAGCCCCTTTACAGTCATTGCCTAAAACTCTGCTTGTTGATGTCTAGGAGTGCTTTTCTTTCTAGGAGGACTTCAGTAGGTTCGCTCTTAGACTATACAAAAAATATTAACAATCCTTCCTTGGAAAGTTGCATTTTAGTCCTGTCATTTGCTGACTTCAGCAACTTTGCTCAAAACTATTTAAAAAGATTTTCAGAAATACATAACTGCATAAAAACTTTCTTGCATCCTCCATTTATTAGGTTTCACTTTTCTTCCTTATACAACGTTACTGCCAGCTGTGTGATTCCTGTTGTGCACTGCTCTACAGAGCAAGTTAATTTGCAACCTTCTCTGTCTTCAGAAGCAGATGATACAAACCAAAGAACTAATACATTATAGGGAGGCAAAATTCAATTAAGTAAATTATTCAGGTGTGAAGGGATAAAGGTCTTAATTGGGCCATTCTGAGAAATCTCTTAAAATGTACCAAAAGTAAGGGAAGAAAGCAAAGAAGGGTAATAACGAGATTAAGTCAGTTAACCCTCTGTAACTTCAGACTCTGTACCAAATATCAGATGAGTTATCTGAGCTCCTTGTCAGTGGGTAAGTAGATAATTATAAATTACCCTCAATCTCTTTCCATGCGCACTGCTTCCACTCTAGTAAGAGCCGCAGATGTGTTCCAACAGCTTCCTAACCTGCTTCTGTTAATAGCCAGAGTAATTTCTGACATGTGAGTCTGCTTAATCACTCTACGTGTTAAGGTCTCTCAATAATTTAAAAACTCTTTTACCCCAGATAGTAACTGCAAAGGACTAAACAAGTTTACAAACCCAACCTGAGCTTACAGCATCTCTCACCACTGCTCTTCAGTAAACTCCAAGCCCCCTACACTGATCTTCTTTCACTCCCTTAAGGTAGGCACACTTGCTTCTATCTCCCACCTTTCTATAGTCCTTCATCCCACAGATTTCATTGAGTGCCTGCTGTGTCCCCAAAATTTTTTTAATCCAAGGGATAAAGTAATAAACAAAATGAGCAAAATCCCTACGCTCTCAGAGCAAGTTCATCTTGTTGGAGTGTTCTTCCCCATGGCACCTCATCACCTGAATAACCTGCCCCTCAGGTCTTTGGCAGGATGTCACATTCTTCAAGAGTCTCTTCTTACTGCCTTTCTCCTTCATTTCACAGTCTGCCACCCTCCCCCCCTTCCCAGACATTTGTCATCTTGTGTGATGTGCCTGAATTCCACTAGTGTGTTGCCTCAGTTGGACCTGGACGTGCTGCCTGTTCATCATTTCCAAAGCCTGGACACATGGTAAATTCTAAGTAACTCTCTGTTGGGAAAAAAAAAAAGACACATTAAAATCACTGCAAACCCAATGGCAACCTGATAATAAAAGTGTCAAAAGGGACAAATAGAGCCCTCTCTGGTGGCACGACAGGTTAAAGCACAGCTCTATGAAGCTCTCTGCAGCCACTATAGCACAAGTTTGATCACTGGGAGGGAGGTGACACACATGATGTGGCAGACCCTTCCTGTCCTGCCCACTGCTCCTCTCAGTAGTGTATTTCAGTCTATCTGTCTGTTCTGTTCCCCTATTCTGCCTCTGGTGAATCCTCTCACCTCCGACACCTCTGGCCTATACCCCAGTTCTTGTATGTGAAATAAATAAATCTTTTAAAAAGTGGCTTTGAAACATTCAGTCTCCTCTGGGTGTGAGGAATCACACCAAATACAGCAGATGCCATACCAGAATCCTGTCCTTTCCACAACGTAACCCCGTCATCCAGGCTCCCTTCTTTTGTTAGTGGCACAAATGGTAGATGGTGTGCCTATGTTAAGACACATCATCTTCATGCCCCCTCCTTCATTAGGCTCATCATGACAGCCCTTTTATTCTCCACAGATACACTTTTTTTTTTAAAGATTTATTTATTTGTGCATACAGAACTGGGGAACAGGCCAGAGGTGCAGGGGAAGGGGCAGTGAGAGGATTCACCAGAGACAGTGCGGAACAGAACAGACAGGTTGACGAAGTACACTGCTGAGGGGAGCAGTGGGCTGGCCATGTGGATCACCTCCGGGACAGGTGGCTATCGAACTCAGATGGAAGAGGCTTTAGCTTCTCGGTGTTGTGCTTTAACCCGCTGTGCCACCAGGGAGGGCCCCAGATAGGCTTTTTTTTTTTTTTTAAAGATTTATTTATTTATTCGTACAGAACTGGGGTACAGGCCAGAGATGCGGAGGGTGAGAGGATTCACTAGAGACAGAGTGGGGAGCAGAACAGGCAGATCGACGAAGTACACTGCTGAGGGGAGCAGCAGGCGGGTCAGGGGAGGTCTGCCTTGCCATGTGGTTGCCTCCGGGGCAGGCGGGGATCGTACTCATGCGGAAGTGGCTTTAGTTTCTTAGTGTAGTGCTTTAACCCGCTGCGCCACCAGGGAGGGCCCCCCAGATAGGCTTTTTATTCTCTCTGATTTCTGTCTTTTCTTTAGATTTCCTTCCTAGGACACCCTTGTCCCCACATGAACCTATAATTGAACAACAATAATTTCTATATTATATTAGACATACTAGAGAAAGATACCAGGATTGGCATAAGACTCAGTGATGACAAGGAAGCTAACTGGAAAGCTCTAAGTTTTAAACTGGGAGAAAATCATCTCAGGGAGAATATCAGAATAACTCTCTCCACTATCACCCCAGGATGAAGTTGCTAACATGGAGACTTCTTCAGGTGTAAGCCTTGATGGAACACATAGACGTTAAAGGGGGAACATATTAACCTATTAAGTGTTATGCACTTGCCTTTTAAAAGTTTTTCCCAGTGATAAACCTGGCATTGGGGTAGGTGTAGCAGTGGTGGAGAATCAGACCAGGGAGGCCAAGAGGGGATGTCACCAGCAATGACAATATTTATACTATAATGCAGGTGGAGACATGCAGGTTTTGTTATTTAACTTTTTTATGTCGCATTAAACACACACACACACACACACACACACACACACTTCCTCCTCTCACTTGCTTCCAACACAATTTAAAATATGTAAATGCAGGCCTCCTTGGTAGTGCAGGGGTTAAAGTCGTTGCTATCAAGCTATCACCAGCCACTGCAGCATGAGTTCAATCCTCAGCCAAGGAGCTGACCCACAGGGTGCAGCAGACCTCTCCTGTCTCACCTGCTGCTCCCCTCAGCAGTTTATTTCAGTGGATCCACCTGTTCTGCTCCCTACTCTGTCTCTAGTGAATCCTCTCACCTCCTCACTCCCCATTACCCCTGCATGTCTAACCTAAATCCCAGTTCTAGTATGTATAAATAAATAAAAATAAATCTTTAAAACATACATAAGTGCAAGTATGCATTTTCTTGTACTAATTTCCCATAAAGCTAATGTTCTTCACGGCAGTTAATGTGGGTGATTTTTCACCTAATCTGAACACAGCAGATGGCAGTGTAGGTCCGTTTCCTAAATGGTAATAAGGTAGGGGCATGTTCACAGAGGAAACTTATTTTAGCTGAAAATTGTTGCATTAATTGATTAACCTCAGATGTATACTTACAGAAGGCTCTTCCTGGGGATATAGAGAGGAACATATTTTTCTAACTCTATTAAACTTATTAAAATATTTTGTTAATAAGGCAAAAACCAATTCTTAAGCAGAAATAGGAATCATCACTACCACAGAGATACTGAAAAACTCTCATACTCACAGGATTTGAGTGTTTGTCTGACTTGGTACTTCAAGTTTGGCTTTGGTAGTTAACCTCTTTATATAAAATTACTTAATAATCATCTGTTTCTGTGCTAGATCACAATTTTTGTGAGATTTAGAAAAAGCATCATATATGAAGAGAGTTAAATTGTTTTTATGTAAAAACTGCAAATATAAGATTTTGTCAGTACATTTTCTTTGGATTTTCACCCCATTTTCCCAGGCTGTTTGGAATCAACCACTTTCCACACTTCGCTAAAGGGACTGGCCAGCAAGATGGAGGAGTATATGAGTTCTGATTAAACCTGGACTCAAAATCCTGCTTTGCTGCTTCAGTGCCTGTGTGATTGTGGGAAGTTACTCAGCCTCACTGAGTCTCAGTTTCTTTCCCATAAAATAGATGGTAACAGAAATTTGGCATTTAGGGTTGTTGTGATAATATGTTCACAATATGACCTACTGGTAAACAAGTGCCTGTTCTGAGGATTGCCAGACTCCATTCTAAATGACATCCCAAGTACATAACTCTTTTCTTTCAGCTCCCTACCGTCTCCACTTCTACAGAATGTGAAGAAACACCTGGCATCTTTCCTTGTAGGTCTTTCAGTGATGGCTCCTAATATGCTGCTCCTCAATAGGCTTTGAGTTATTTTTCTTTTGCTCCTTTTGCTCACCAATGCTCATCTTCATCAACTCCTAATTTCCAAAGAAATTAATAACAGACCTTGTTTACTCATTCCCTGCTGGGGACACAGCCATCTTCTTTTCTGATCCACCCACCTTTCCCTGGGAAGGCTCAAGAGAACTGAGAACTCCTTGCTTCTGGGAGAAGATTTGCCAGATGGGCTTTCCCCCCAGTGTTAGAAATATTTGAAAATGGGCCATTTTAGAAAGTATTAAATTATTGTACATTTTTCATTTTGCTGAGATTTTTGTGATAATTTGATAGATATTTATTTTATATTCTTTGAACATATATATTTTTGAACACTGCATTAATTTTTCTGGATCACACAATATATCACAGCAAGAATTACCAAACTTCGTTTATATAGGGAGTCACCAGATATAAAAAAACATTTTGGTTTTTTTAAAATTTTATTTATTTTTTATTTTACAACAGTTAATTTTTACATCATTTTGTACATTTTTTTCCATCTCAATTATAATCCCCGTGGGTTTCCCATTACCAGGTCACCCATGTGCCATCACCATAATCCCGTGCACTTCCCCCCCCACCCCCCCCCCCCCATTTTTGATCCCATTCCCCACTCCACCCCCTCAAAATGTCTCTGGTATATGGTTGTTCATTATTTTTGTTATTTTCTCGCCTGGTCCGTTATACTCCTGCTATGAGTGAAACCATCCGATATTTTTCTTTCTCTTTCTGGCTTATCTCACTCAGCATGATCTTTTCCAGCTCCATCCAAGTTGCTGCAAAGGACATGTGTTTCTCTTTTTTGGTTGCTGAGTAATATTCCATTGTATATATGTACCACATCTTTCTAATCCAGTCATCTACTTTTGGGCATTTGGGCTGCTTCCATGTTTTTCCAATTGTAAATAAAGCAGCAATAAACATGGGGGTACAAGCATCTTTTTCTATCAGTGTTTTTGTGTCTTTTGGGTAGATACCTAGGAGTGGGATTGCTGGGTTGTAGGGAAGCTCCATGTTTAGCAGTTTGAGGAAACTCCAAGCAGTTTTCCATAGTGGTTGTACTAGTTTGCATTCCCACCAGCAGTGCAGGAGAGTTCCTTTAAACAAACATTTTAATCATGATGTTTCTCAAACACAAAGTAACCAATTGATTATTTCCTAAAGATATATTGAAATAAGCCCCTTTTTTGAGACTTTGTTATATAGTAAGCCTACTACTAAGTAATTTTAAAGCATTATCTCAATTTATTGTTAAAAAAGCTGAACTTTGGATATTAGTATTAGCTCCATATTGAAGATGATAAAAATGAGGCATAAAGAAGTTACATAACTTGAGTATTGGACAGTGAGTTTGGGTTAACCTAAATTATTCTGACTCTGTAGCCAACCTCAATGTTAGTCTTCTAATAATATTTTTAAAAGATTTATTTATTGGCCCTCCCTGGTGGCGCAGCGGGTTAAAGCACAGCATTAAGAAGCTAAAGCCACTTCCGCATGAGTTCGATTCCCGCCTGCCCCGGAGGTGACCACATGGCGTGGCAGACCTCTCCTGACCCGCCCGCTGCTCCCCTCAGCAGTGTACTTCGTCGATCTGCTTGTTCTGTTCCCCACTCTGTCTCTGGTGAAGCCTCTCGCCGCCCCTGAGCCTCTGGCCTGTACCCCAGTTCTGTATGCACAAATAAATAAATCTTTAAAAAAAAAAAAAAAGATTTATTTATTTACACATACAGAACTGGGGCGCAGGCCAGAGGTGCAGGGGTGGTTGGAGGACTCACCAGAGACAGAGTGGGGAGTGGAACAGGCAGATCAAAGAAGTACACTGCTGAGGGGAGCAGTGGATGGGTCAGGAGAGGTCTGCCTTGCTATGTGGATCACCTTTGGGGCAGGGATAGAACTCATGCTGAAGTCGCTTTAGCTTCCCAGTGCTGTGCTTTAACCCGCTGAGCCACCAGGGAGGGCCAAGGGCCCCTTCTAATAATATTTTAAAAATATATATTTACTCATATATACGAGAGCTACAGACCCTAGAAACAGGAAGTAAGAGGAATCACCAGAGACAGCAGGGAAAAGAGCAGGTGGATCGACTGAAATACACTGCTGAGGGGTACAATGGGCGAGACTGGAGAGGTCTGCTGCACTATGTGGGTCAGCTCCCTGACCAGGTATTAAACTTGTGCTGCAGTGGCAGTGGATTGCTTCATAATGCATCATTTTAACCCCTTGCACCATCAGAGAGGCTACCTCAATATTATAATTGACATGACATTGTATTAGTTTCAGGTACATAGCATAATGATTCATTATTTGTATATATCATGAAATGATCTAGTTAACATCCATCACTACATATATGATGTATTTTCTTGTGATGATAGGTTTTAAGATCTACTCTGTTTACACAATGGACTATGGGTGATTTGGTTGTGGGTGCATTATAGTGGCAATGCCTGATGTGGATATCCAAATATCACCTGAATTCAAAATAAATTTTAAAAAAGTAAAGTAACCCTTACTTTTATTAGCAACTTTCAAATATATGCTACCGTATTATTAATAGTCACCATGCTGTACTTTTATATGTTAGTATTCTGTGGTAACTATTCAGTACAGCACTAGGCAAATGTCTGTGGTAAAATTGATCATTTACACTCTGAATCAAAACCACAGGTTCATCTTTTCAAATCTAGCTTTCAGGTGTCTAAGAGTTTATCCATATTTGAATTTATTAGACACCTACCATATCAAAGTCATACTTAATTTCCCCTTTTTCTCTTCTCACCCTCAAGAAATCCATATACAAACTCTATTTACCTCAGAAATGTGGTCCAGTTCTCTTCCCTTTCTCCTCCCTCACCCTATTCCAATTTAATATCACTCCTACTTCCAGAACAACTGTGACAGCCTTCAAACTGTGTTCTGTTCTTCTGTTTTGTAAGTATGCTGTACTTGTATATGTTTATTAAACACTCTTTAACCCCCTACTAACCTCATAAGGGCAAGGATTCTACCTTGTTCGGTGTTGTTTACCTAGGCCATAGAATGAGCCTGAGCACAGCAAAGTGCTCAGGAAATATTTATTGGTTGGATGAATTTAGTACTGGACATTTAAAAATGAAAAAAAATATGTTCTTTACTCTCGTAGGGCATACAGTGTATTAGTGGAAACACCACTCTACACAGGCTTAATTCATGGTGGGATCACTGCTATAAACAAGGTTTAGTTCAATGTGGTACAAGAAGGCAGGGAAGCAGTTCCTTTTACTGGGGATAAGAAGGTCCGAGGAAAGTTTATAGTTACATAAACATATCTATGTTTAAGAAAAGTTTACCAAGTGGTAAGTTCATCAAAAGAATATTCAAGAAACTGGAAACTGTGTGCAAAGGCAAAGAAATAGTTTACATTATGTGGTGGTTAGTGGAGTTGAAAGGGTGGTAGCAAATATGTCAAGATCGCTAGAGCCTGAAGTAGGGGTGGCAGGTCATGAAGCAGAGTGGTAGGGAAAATTTCCTTATGATGGCACAGAATATGCCATGCTAAGCAACTCAAATTGTTTTCTATTAATAACAGGGATATTGCAAAAAAAAAAATTGAAGCAGAAGAAAATACTTTAGGAAAAGATTAATACTCTGATGAGAAGAATGGATAACAAAAGCTTAAGACAAGATGATCTGTTAAGATTCTATTTCAAGACTACTTTCTTCTTGTGGTCAACTGAAGGAACAGACCTGGATTTCCCTGCTATCCGAAGTGACAAAAGCAGTGATAAAATGAGATATTTAGGGCCCTCTCTGATGGCGCAACCGGTTAAGGCACAGCACTGTGAAGGTATCACAGTCTCGCAGTATGAGTTCGATCTCTGGCCAGAGAGGTGACCCACAAGGCCTGGCGGACTTCTAATCTGCCTGTTGCTCCCCCCCCAGCAGTGTATTTTGTCGATCTGCCTGTTCTGCTCCCCACTCTGTCTCTGGTGAATCCTTTCACCACCCCTGCACCTCTGGCCTGTACCCCAGTTTTGTGTGTAAAAATAAATAAATCTTTAAAAAATAAAAATAGGCCCTCCCTGGTGGCGCAGCGGGTTAAAGCACAGCACTGAGAATCTAAAGCCGCTTCTGCATGAGTTCAATTCCCGCCTGCCCCGGAG